GTGTTTTTAAAACAATCCCACATCTGGTCTGTGTTTAGGTTTTGAAATAAGTTTTCCCATTTTATTTCCCCCACTAGGTTGCGCAGCTTCTCAAAGTTGGCCCTTCTGAAGTTTAGGGTTCTAGTCCTTCCAGTACACTTCCCTTTTCTGTGTTCAATATTAAAAGTAATCACATTGTGATCACTATTACCCAATGACTCCCCAATTACAATATCCTCGATTAACTCTGCATTATTAGTGACAATTAGATCTAAGATGGCATTTTTTCTGGTAGGAGTCTCCACCATCTGGTCCATGAAATTGTCGCGCAACATGTTTAGAAATCGCCCCGCCTTTGCCGAACCCGAAGTTCCATTGGCCCAATTTATGTCTGGGTAATTGAAGTCACCCATCACGACTACATTGCCCTCTTTCCCAGCTATTCCTATCTGTGAGTGAAGATTGACTTCACTCACAGATGTGCGCCTCAATAAACTCCAAAATCTTGTTTTACCTGCCAAAGGATTTGTATCTCTGTTCACTGAGTTTGGAGATTTACACAGTTCTGCCCCAACTGAAGTGAGTTTTGATTCAACTTCATGCTGACTCAAATGCCTGAGATGTGTCGGGGTAGCCTTGAATTTAAGAGACTGTTTGCTTTTTAATTCAATTTTAGCAATAAAGATCGGTTTTGCTGTCTGGCCTGTACACCACATCTCTTCCCTCTAACATTTATGATGGGGTTATGTAATGGCCAGTGGGGTAATCTCTGAACAGACCCCACCACCTGTTTATTTGCCTGTCCCTTCTGGAATTACTAGGGCAACAACCAATGCAAAGACTATCCTGGATTATACAGATTGGGCAGTGTACTCCTAGAGGTGGAGTTGACCATATTTCATTTGTTACACACCTGTTAAAGATGTGTTTCTTTGTTTTTTGTATATTTTGATACAGTGAATATGCTTTTGTTTAAAGTTGTGTTTTTAATAGACATGTTTTCCAAAATTCAATGCTATTAAGTGTAACTGCACCTTTTATCTACTTATAGTGAAGCTTCCCCAGCCCCAATCTACCATTGTACAATTAACCCCCTCCCCCCCACCTCCGGAAGTCTTTTACTTGGCTGTCCGGGATCCAGTGAGTTATCTATGAGACCCCATAGCCGCATGTCAAACGCTTCTGATTTGGGCACAAGCATCCATTATGCACTCTCTATTCAGTCATTTGGAGAGTTTGTACTCCTCCATAGCATGGAGTATGAACTCTCCATAGCACTTAATAGAGAGTGCACATTGGACGTGTGTGCCTTGTTCATTCTATTTTGATCTATTCTGCTGCCTTGTTGGGGATATCTCACTGGATTTGATAGAACACAGGAGGCCACCTAAGGTACAGTTGCACTTTAATTTTTTATTTTATTTTAAACCAAAGGATTTAATAGCTGTTGTGTACTTTTTTTTTTTTTTCTTTGCAGGTGTAAACTTTTAAAGAATGGCAGTAGTGATCCGCTTAGAGGGGCTTCCTGTTGTTGCTGGTTCAGTTGATATTCGGCATTTCTTTTCTGGACTAAATATCCCTGATGGAGGTGTGCACATTATTGGTGGTAAAACCGGCAAAGCCTTTATTATATTTGCAACAGATGAAGATGCCAGACGTGCTATGAGTCGAACAGGTGGTGGTGTTAAGAATTCGCGAGTTCAGCTTTTCCTTAGCAGCAAGACAGAAATGCAAAATACTTTGGAAATGAGTCGTAGAGGTAACAGAAAGCATCCAGCAGTACCACCTGGTAGTGATACGTTTGGTGCAAAGAAAGGAGTCGACTATAACAAAAAATTTGACAAAGGCATAATTGAACCTGGTCTAGACAACAGTGGGATAAAACACAATGAAGTATACACAGGAAGGTATGACAGGAGAGAAGCAAAACCTTCTAAAGAACCTGATGATGTTTATGTATTTATGTATGGGCTTCCATACAGTGCAACAGAGGAAGAGGTCAGGAAATTTTTCAGTGGCATAGATGTAGTTGAGGTTCTCTTCCTATTGCGTCCAAATGGCCTTAGAAATGGAAATGGTCTCGTGAAATTTGGAAGTGCAAAGGATGCATCTGCAGCCCTGGAACGTCATAATCAATATATTGGAGACAGATTTATCTCTCTAAAGAAGACAACCGAAGAGCAGTGGGTTACTGCTGGTGGGCAAGTAGGAGTACCACATTCCAAGCAACCCAGGAAACGAAGGTCAAGGTCCAGATCGCCACAAAATCAGCAGTTTTACGTACACTTGAAGAATTTATCATATAGTGTGGAGAAAGAGGATATTAAGCGTTTTTTGGGTTTCCCTGACCTCCCAGATTCACAGATCAAGTTCTTGCTTGACAGGCACCAGAACAGAACAAGAGAAGGCTTTGTCATGGTAAGAAACGGATGGCAGTTTGAAAAGTGCATCACTTTGCACAAAGGTAATCTCGGTGGTCGGCCAATCTTTATACTTCCAATTCCTCGAAAAGAAATGTTGGATTTGATAGAGTCCTTTGAAAGTCGGTCTCCTCCTAAAGTGGAGAGTTTTATTGGTGATTGTCCAAGCAGAGAGCGTTCCCCCACGAAAAGATGTATATACTTGAGGAATTTTCCTTTTGATGTAACCAAAGCTGAAGTTCTTCGATTCTTAGCTGGATTTCCCGTGCATGAAGATGATATTTACTTGCTTTTTGACAACAATGGAGTCGGACTTGGGGAAGCATTGGTAAAATTTCCCACTGAACAGCAAGCTTTACTTGCAGAAAGCTTAAATCGCCAACGATTCTTGGATACGGAAGTTCTCCTGAGACGTATATCTGATGAGCAGATGAAGGAATTTGGTGTCTTTATTGAAAAACCAGTGGAAAATGTTTTGGCCCGTTCACCAATGTACAGAGATGAGTATAGTGCACGTGAACGGTCTTATGGGCTACATGATGACTTGGCATATGGTCATAGAGATTTTAGAGGTTCTCCAGAAAGGTTTAGAGGCTCTAACTCATTGGATTTTGTTGGTCCAGATGAATTTGCTGGAAGGTTTGACAGAGGAAGCCAAAATAATATTGATTACCACCATTCTATACCATACCGTAGCCAGAGTTTGGAAGGCAGGCCAGCAGGTGCTATTGTACGTATGAAGAATCTGCCATACAAAGCCACTATGGAAGAAATTTTAGATTTTTTCTATGGTTACAGAGTCACTCGTGATTCGGTAGATGTCAAGTTCACAAAGGATGGAATGGCAACAGGGCTTGCCACAGTCTACTTTGAAAACTATGATGAGGCAATGGCTGCTGTCAATGAACTTAATGAAAGGCCCATTGGAACACGCAAAATTCTCTTATCTTTGACAGAAAATTGAAAGAATTGTTTGATTTGGAAATGTCAGAAATACATTGTATTACTCTTCAGTGAGGTGACATGGATTTTTTTGTTTTGAATGACCGTTAAAGCATTCCTTTTTTCCTTAAGCTGTAAATATGGCGAGAGTTTGACTTCTCTGACTGTACACTCATTTTTGATTAAAGTGTTCTGTGTGTCCATACCTATGTCTGGGCATTTAATTAGCAAAGGCACCTTGCAAAATATCTGTAGGCACGCTTTTCTTTGGTTAATACAGACTTGATCTTTTTTGATAGTTAAAAGTCTGGAATTGAAAGGGCCAGCATCTTTGTTTGTAACATGACAGTTGATTAGGCTCAACTCCTCATCCACACATTGGGCAGTTTAGTCCAACTTGTTTCAGCCAGTGAACGTTATTCAGAATTTTTATAATAAGTCTTGTGTTCAAATTAGATTATTTGGTTTAACTGCTTTTTATTGGGTCCTTTTTATCCAATTAACCTTCAGTGAGATTTATTTTTTCTTTGTCGGGCTACCTGTCTTAACTGTACTTAGACAATTATATTTTGCTTTAAGTTGAAAGCGTAAAAAAGATGGTCATCTGTATGACCATCTTTATATGTGCCCGCCTTTTTTTTCCCCTCCAAGGTATGTTAGGAAATTGATCAGTTGACTATGCATTAATTGATTTTTAAGCAATGGAGGACCTTGCATTGAAAGTGCTGCAAAGTGTGAAGGTTCTAGCATACCAAACGTAATGTGGTTAAGGATACAGTGAGCGAGAGAGATCTGGAAAGGTACAAAGAATGGCATTATCCTTAAAAATCAGCAAGACGTTTGGTAAAATGGCACATCTTTAGGATAATTGTGATGGCATTTTCCTCCGATTTTCACTTCTTGCTTTCTGATATGAAATGTATTTTTCAGTGCATAGTGATCTGCTTTTGAGTTTTTTTGTTCTTCTGAGACGTCACTCATTTACCTGTAATAAAAATTCATGAACAGAAGTAAACGCATAACTGCTATATTTTTGAGACTTTTTTTTTTCTTTTTCTCTTTCAACTCCTTTTTCGCAAGCCAGCTTTAAGATTGATGTGTGATAAAAAAAAAAATTTTGACAAGTTCAAAATTGATTCAGGGCATGTGGTTTGTTATAAATCATCAGGTGCACATGCTTATCCTGCGATTTATTGTGCTGTTACTGCACAAACCTGTGTTGTTGCCAGTGGTCTTTGGCTAAATGAGGAAAGTTTAGAATGGCCGAAACAGAAGATTTGTGTTCTTTATTAAATCCTGGTTATGGCTTTTAATCCATTGTCACTGTTTACATGCACTCTTCTATGGTGGTATGAAAAAAAAAGGCTGCCAGTGGCTGAAAGTAGTGTGTGCTTTTTGGACTAACGAACATGGGTTCCAATGAGTCAGCAACTGACCACAATTGTGAAAAAGGAGGATTACCCAATCACAGCAAGGTATGAGGTGTGGTGAATTCCACCTTCCAAGGAGATGTAGTTTCATTGGCTGGGAAAAACCATGTATGTTTTTGAAGATCTGGGACAATAATCTCTTGTGGAGAATTGTGATTTCTGTTGGTTTATGCTACTGGAAACAAGGAGGATATGGCAGACATCACAGGATCCCTCCCGCGAGGTGTCATAAAAAGGTTTGCTGTTTTTTTAAATTTCCATTTTGATGCGGTTTGACATTAGTAGGTTAATGGTTACCTATTCAAATTAACATGGCCTCTGGCTGAGTAGTGCTCAATCAAATTCCTGGGAGCCTACTTCATAGGCATCAGTAACATAAACTTTGGTTATATGTGTTGGCCTCTAGGCAGTGATTTGGCCTGGTATAAAATACTGTGGTGTGACTTAGAACACTGTCACCAATGTCATGGCAACCATTGTGTGGGTCCATGACATAAAAATTGCCTAATATGCTAGCTTACTGGTTTTGCACTACCTTTTCTGTGGTTTGGGCTGTTGCTTAGCATATAATGTTGGAGAAATGTGTATCCACTGCATAGGCCATCTTCTCAGCAGTAAGGATTTGACTCTCTTGAGAGTTCTCCAGGGGTGAGCATTTGATTGGTACAGTTTTTATTTCTTCTCTTTCCTGGGTAGAGGAGCACCAGTGCTATACCATATGTTCCTAATGATTGCTACTAGCTCATTTGGCACTGCTGATGCTGTCTATGGGTTTGACACCCCTGTGCTAGTGAACCATGGCAAGACTGATCACTGATAAAGTAACTGGACATTTAAGGGCCCCAAGGCATTACATATGTGCTAGAAAGTGGAGTTTGTCATGGCTGCCTCACCCCTGTGTTTATTACTAGAAGAAGCTCCTAAAAGATTAATATTCCTGTGGTCTGTAGCGGTTTTGGTGCTAGTTTAGTAAAGGTAAGGATTTGGAGTAAATATAGACTACTTTGGTCAATTGCGCATTACATCAAATTCTCTGAACATTTTGAAGCAATGTATTTATTGCAGGTATCCACTTCTTTATGACTTGCACTTGGGGATGTTCTGGAATCGGAAGCTTATTTATTGCACCATTTTTGGCCTGTATTCATGCCTGCCTTTAGTGCTCTCCTAAACGGGGGGCTTGCCAGGTAAACCAGCTCAGATGACCTGGATTAGGTGATATCCAGGAAGTCACTGCAGTCTGATAGGCATGATGTGACACTAATGATAGTGCTTTTCTGAGAATTTTCGACGGTGTTTAAAAAGTTTTCTACTTAAACATGAAAAACTGGTATTTGTCTCCCTGTTGCTGATTGAGTCACTCTGCTGCTCACACTGTTGGGAAGTGAACAACTTTCTTCAGCATGGCTTTTGAGCACCAGGGGACTTTAGGTACAGGCTTTTTAATTTGGGGTTTAAAAGGTGGTAAAGAATGCGTTCAAAGCTCCCCATTTGTAAACAGGATCACTCCGGTTTTCATTTTATTCACTTTTACGGCTCCGTTTTCTGGTTGGGAACGGTTTTAAAGACCTTTTGACAAAGCAGGTAACGATGCGGATCCTTGAACAGAAATTTAATGAAGAACATGAATTGTGTTTAATCTTAAATAATAAAAACCTTCAGTTGTGATCGTTTTATTGTTAAAACTTGGAACAAGCAACCATTTTCCTGTAATCTATTTGCAATCTACATGCAAATAATTATGTCTGATTTTACACCTACACATCTTTGTTCCAGGTCAGCAAATCAGCTCTTACTCAACCCGGCTGGTTAGTGTACTAGCCCAATAACTAGCATATTCTACAAGGTATTAACAGTGGTAGCCCACATGTGTGTCTCAGGGAAGGTTCACTTTTAAGGTAAGTTTAATGCGTACTGGCACTATCCCCAAAATGTCAAATGCTTCACCTGTCCAAATCTATGTATTATAGAAGCTGCAAAGTTCCTGTAGAAGTATTGTGCTGGCCATGTGTGCTAATTTGTGAGAAGTGGAGCTTTTGCACTTAGCAGCCACATTCAATATTTCATTATAACACAAAAGTAAATGATCCCTTTCTCAGGCCTCAAAATGTGCACTCGCTTCCTTGCAATTGGTGAGTGGAATGTCATCGAGGGGGTGCGCCGCCGGCTGGACCAGGGATGGTGCACTACCGCTGCGGCAATTGCTCACTTCTGTTCTCCTCTATAGCTGCAGCTACAGAGCGGCCGAGGAGAAGAAAACAGAAGTGAGCAATTGCCGCGGCGGTAGTGTCCCACCCTTGGTCCCCCCTTGATGACATTCAGTTCCGCTGTCTTCTGCAGCTTCCCCGCCCACCTCAGCTGCCAGGCTGGGAGGAAGACTGCAGAGACAGCTGGCCAGAAATGTAGGCAGTGAGGGGAAATAAAGTTTTATCTTCCTACATTCAGGATCTCTGTACCGATTGTGCAGCTTTCTGCAGGTGTTAGGTCACTAGCAAGCAAAGCTGGAAAAACAGCCCTTTCAACTCCAGCATGCCTTGCTAGTGTCCTTTTACAATTTGATTCTTCTGCTAAGCTTCTCACAGCTACTGCTGCACCTATTACAGCTATGTGGATCTCTTGGATTTCCTTGGCAGACTGCCCGGTAATGTTGCCTGTGGCATCAGACACTGCTTGGGGCTCTCACTAGAAAAAAAAGAGCAGTGTGGGAGTGGCTGCAGCGTATCCTTTAGTGCTTAGGGGAACTGTACTGCGCTTGCCATTTTCTCAGTGGCACATGCTTTGGACAGGTACATCCTAACTCTTGCTGCTCCTGCACAGCCAACCACCAACACTTTGTACCTCTGCCTCATGCCTGCTTTTATGTGGCTGGACACAAAGGGAGTTCTAAAACGGGTTGTGAGTTTACTATGCCATCGTGGTAGCCATTTAAAAGTTAGTAAGGGGTCAGTGGGCTCTATATCCTCACATGTTGTGGTTATCTGTTCCTGCTGGTGACTGTTCTATCAGTCCAGTGCAATGCGCCTTCTCGTCTGCTTCAGACAATTCTACTGTGCATGCTGGGGTACTGTGCATGTGTTTGCCTCTTTTAAAGACAAATTTGCTTCAACAGTGGCTGATTTTATGTGTAAAAGGCTCCTTCACCTGATTCCTCTCATTCACTGACTTAGCTGTGGAGGCTTTTATGCTCCCTGATGAGGTACTACTGTAGTAGCAGCAGATAAAGAATAGGGTTCCTCTGCCCAATCACGAACTCCTGTGTTGAATTTAACACATCAGCAATTATATTGTCAAAGACAAAGATGAAAAGCTCCAGGATAAGAGGGTTTGTCCTTGAGAAGAAGTGGTCTTTAAGAGATTTGATGCACATTTACATGAATTCTTGGTCACCACCAACACGGGATGGAGAGTTTCGCCATATAAATTAGATGAAGACTAAAGGTGCCCACACACCTTACAATTTATCTGCAGATTTTCTGTGGTCAGATGGAAAAAGTGCAACTGATTGGCTCAGGTGGAGATTACTCCATCCACACAGTTAAGTGTAGCTGGATGAATCTGTTGCACCTTTTCCATCTGACCACAGAAAATCTGCAGATAATTGTAAGGTGTGTGGGCAG